ATCGAGGGGACCAAACTCACCATCACCCAGGGTGAGTCCAGCTGCCCTGGCACGCGCCTTGCCCACTGCAGTCAGGGTTTTTGGTGACTGGTGATGTCTTCACATTTAAACCCAGTTGTCTGGATTGACAGCTGTCAGCATTTCACCTTGCTACCCCTTCCCTGTGTGGGCTTCTGAGAGCGGCTTGCTCATCCTGAATGTCCCCCAGTCTAGAAAGCAGCACAGCATGCCTTTCACCCTGATACCCCCACCCCCAGAAGAGGGTCTGCTCATTCCTCATCTCTCCCCAGCTGTCACAACCACCACCACATGGAGGCCCAGCAGTGCAACCACCACAGCTGGACTCAGGGTCACAGAAGGCAAAGGGCACTCAGAATCATGGCACCTAAGTCTGGACACTGCTATCAGTGTGGCATTGGCTGTTACTGTGCTCAAAACGGTCACTTTGGGACTGCTGTGCCTCCTCAGGTGGAGAAGAAGGAAAGGTAGGTGCCCAGGACATGCTGTCTCCTCAAGCCTCCAAGCTGGGGTTTCTCAGAGCCCACCTGCAGCTCAGGGATTTCAGAAACATGCAGACCCTGCTGGCTCCCCTCAAGCCCACTGAGGCCAACTCCGTGGCCTGTCCTGGGGCGTCTGCATCTCGGGGGCTCCTGCAGTGGGGGAGTCATGCAGGGTCACGTGTGAAAACTCCCAGCCTGGGTGCGGTGGCTCACGCCTGTAATCCCAGCACTTTGGGAGGCCAAGGGCGGGTGGATCATGAGGTCAAGAGATTGAGACCATCCTGGCCAACATGGTGAAACCCCATCTCTACTAAAAATACAAAAATTAGCTGGGCATGGTGGCGCATGCTTGTAGGACCAGCTACTCAGGAGGCTGAGGCAGGAGAATCGCTTGAACCCTGTAGGCAGAGGTTGCAGTGAGTCAAGATCCCATCACTGCACTCCAGCCTGGTGACAGAACAAGACTCCGTCTCAAAAAAAAAAAGAAAGAGCCGGGCGCGGTGGCTCACACCTGTAATCCCAGCACTTTGGGAGGCCGAGGCGGGCGGATCACAAGGTCAGGAGATTGAGACCACGGTGAAACCCTGTCTCTACTAAAAATACAAAAAATTAGCTGGGCGTGGTTGTGGGCACCTGTGGTCCCAGCTACTTGGGAGGCTGAGCCAGGAGAATGGCAGGAACCTGGGAGGCAGAGCTTGCAGTGAGCCGAGATCGCGCCACTGCACTCCAGCCTGGGCGACAGAGCGAGACTCCGTCTCAAAAAAAAAAAAAAAAAGAAAGAAAGAAAAGAAAAGAAAGAGAGCCCCTAGTCCTCTCTACACAGCTGGATCCCCCCAACTACTTCTCTCTCAGTCATCAATCATCTACCCTCCCCTGAAGGTTCCTGGGGAGGGGAGGGTCTGCCCTGGGAAAAGGATAGAGAGAGGAGAAGCGACCAGAATTGGGCTGAGCTCAGCAGGCACTGGCTGACTGCCCACCTGCCACGGCCTGGCTTGAAACTGGAGAAGCAAAGTAGATAAAGCATAGGCTCTGTTCTCAGGGAACTGGGGATGTGGAGTTGTCAGTTGCCTCAAGGACTAATTGCTTCATTGAGAAAGAGCTATGGTATTGCTAAACAAGGGTAGGAGGAGAGAGAGGTAATCAGGGAGGACTTCCCAGAGGAGGTGACATCTGCAGATGTCTCAGAGAAGAAAAGAATTAGCTTGGCAAGAGGTGAGGGTGGTGTAGAGGTCACTCACTTTCCTTGCAGGTGGAGGAAACCATTCCAGGAGCTGTAGGAAGCTTGATGCTGGTGGAGGAGGCAGGAGAGGAGAGGAGATGACCATGGAAATCACATCCAATAGCCTCTGATCCCAGAGGCAGCGTGAGGCAGCAAAGGGTGACCTCAGCTCCCCATGGGAGACCTCGGTCTGTGGAGCAGCGGGCAGAGGTGGGCCAGGCTGGGTCAGTGCAGTGCAGGGGTGAGGCAGAGAGAGCGAAAGGGTCAGATCCTAGAAAATATTAAGTAATAAAAACCAATGAGATTGATTGTTTGCTGTAGGGGCGAGGGAGCAGGAAGAAGCATCCGTTTCGACTTGGGTGCATGGTGCTGTGATGAAACCATCAAGTACAGTAGACAATAGAGGAGGAGACTATGTTTGGAGGGGAACGATGCCTCGTTTAGTTTGGAATCTTTTTTTGGTTTTTTTTTTTTGGTTTTTTTGTCTTGTTTTGTTTTGTTTTTTTGTTTGTTTTTTGAGATGGAGTTTTGTTCTGCTGCCCAGACTGGAGTGCAGTGGCACAATCTTAACTCACTGCAAGCTCCGCCTCCTGGGTTCACGCCATTCTCCTGCCTCAGCCTCCTGAGTAGCTGGGACTACAGGCGCCTGCCACCACGCCTGGCTACTTTTTTGTAATTTTAGTAGAGACGGGGTTTCATCGTGTTAGCCAGGATGGTCTCGATTTCCTGACCTCGTGATCCGCCCAACTCAGCCTCCCAAAGTGCTGGGATTACAGGCTTGAGCCACCTCACCCAGCCAGTTTGGAATCTGTTATACTGGAGATCCATGTGTGGCATCTCAGCAGAGTTGTCCTTTGGAAACTTGGATGTATACATTCCCAGTTCAAAAGAGAGGACAAGGCTCCAAGCATCAATGAGTTCTACTTCAATATCCTCCAAACGTGACAGTAAGTTACCATCAAGAAAGTCTTCAGGCCAGGCACAGTGGCTGACGCCTGTGATCCCAGCACTTTGGGAGGCCGAGGCGGGTGGATCACCTGAGGTCAGGCGTTCAAGACCAGCCTGGCCAAAATGGTGAAACCCCGTCTCACTTAAAAACACAAAAAATTAGCTGGGCGTGGAGGCGCACACCTGTAGTCCCAGCTACTCAGGAAGCTGAGGCAGGAGAATTGCTTGAACCTGGGAGGCGGAGGCTGCAGTAAGCCAAGATGGTGACACTGCACTCCAGTCAAGGTGACAGAGCGAGACTCCGTCTATAAAAAGAAAAAAAAGAAAGTCTTCAGTGAAAGGAGATTCGCCCTATCAGCTAGGAAAGCACAGAGGGGAGGAGCTTGGGGTCGGGGCTGCCTGCAGCCAGATCCCGGCCTCACACCCTCGCCAGGGAACAGGCTCGCGAGTACAAAGGCTGTGTGCCTCAACTTCCTCATGGAAGCACGTGAGATTATTTTATAACCATAGAGTGGAGACAGTCTCAGTATGACCAAACCCAGGAGCCATGTATTAAAATATGGATAAATTTAACTATATAAAAAATTTTTTGCCGGGTGCAGTGGCTCACACCTGTGATTCCAGCAGAAAATCAGGAGATCAGGAGATCACAGAAGGTCCAGTGGCTAGTGAGAGAGCAGGAATGGAGAGCAGAGGGGCCGGCAGGAAGCTTGGAGAATCTGCAAAATAGGAGATCACAAAAGAACAAGAGTCAATGAGGTTCAACAAGAGGTAGGGTGGGATAATGACCAAAGACAGAGGGAACACCTCCAGGTTCGTTCTGTGAGGTCAGCAACACCATGACCTGAGAGCCAGATAAAGACCCTGCAAGAAAAACAACACACAAAATACAGACGAAAAGGCCGGTGAATATTGATGGAAAAATCTTCAGCAAAATTCTAGCAAACCAGCTTTGACAGCACGTTAAAAGGATTGTACACCATGACCAAGTTGGGGTTAGTCCTGGAATGCAGGTATCACCCAAGACGGGAAAATTAATCAGTGTAGTGCACCCCATTAACAGAAAGAAGGACAAAACGCACATGATCATCTCAACTGCTGCAGAAAAAACATCGGACAAGATTAGAATACCCTTTCCTTTTTTTTTTTTTGAGTTGGAGCCTCACTCTGTTGCCCAGCCTGGAGTGCAGCGGTGCCATCTTGGCTCACTGCAACTTCTGCCTCCCAGGTTCAAGAGATTCTTCCACTTTAGCCTTCTGAGGAGCTGGGATTACAGGCGTGCACCACTATGCCCGGCTAATATTTTATTTTTGGAAGAAACGCGGTTTTACTATGTTAGCCAGGCTGGTCTCGAACTCCTGACCTCAACTGATCAGCCCGCCTTGGCCTCCCAAAGTGCTGGGATTACAGGCTGAGCCACGGTGCCCAGCTTGAACACCCTTTCCTGGTAAAACACTCCACAAACCAGGAAGAGAAGGAATGTACTGCAACGTAATAAAGGCCAGTCATGCAAGGCCCACAGCAGAAAGTCTTTCAGTCATTTTAGGTGAAAGACTGAAATATTTGCCTCCAAGATCAGGAACAAGAGAAGGATGCCCTATCTCACTACTTTTATTCAACATAGGATTTGAAGTCAGGCCAGGCACAGTGGCTCACACCTGTAATCCCAGCACTTTTGGAAGTTGAGGTGGGTGGATTACTTGAGGCTACGAGTTTGAGACCACCCTGGCCAACATGGCAAAACCCCATCTCTACTTAAAAAAAAAAAAAGAAAAGATTTGAAGTCCTAGCCAGAGCAATTAAGCAAAGAATAAAAAGGCATCTAATTTGAAAAGGAACAAGCAAAATGATCTCTGTTTGCAGGTGACAAGATCTCATATGTAGAAAATCCTAAGTATTGCACAAAAATACCTGTTGAACGAATGAATTCAGCAAAGTTCCAGGAAACCAATTTAACATATAAGCAACTATGTACTGCATTTCTGTGCACTAACCATAAACAATCTGAAAAGAAAATTAAGAAAACAATTCCACTTACAATAATGTCAAAAAATAAAGTAAGATCTTTGGAATAAACCTAACCAGGGAAATGAAAGACTTGTACACTGAAACTACAAAACATTTCTGAACAAATGAAAAGAAGACACAAATAAGTGGATGACATTCTTGTTCGTGGAATGGAAGAATTAATATTGTCAAGGTGTCCACGCCACCAACAACAATCTCCAGATCCAATGCAAATCCTATGAAAACCCCAATGGCATTTTTTTTTTTTTTTTTTTTGCTCAAACAGAAAATTCATCCAGAAATTCAAATGGAATCTGAAAGCACTACCACAAACCAAAATAATCTTTAGAAAGGTGAACAGAGTTAGAGGACACGCATTCCCTGATTTCAGAATATATTAAAAACTATGGTAATCAAAATAATGTGGTACTGAAATAAAGACATAAATAGGCTGGGTGCAGTGGCTCCCGCCTGTCATCCCAGCACTTTGGGAGGCCGAGCTGGGCGGATCACCTGAGATTGGGAGTTTGAGACCAGCCTGACCAACGTGGAGAAGCCCATCTCTACCAAAAATACAAAATTAGCTGGGTGCGGTGTCTCATGCCTGTAATCCCAGCTACTCGGGAGACTGAGGCAGGAGAATCACTTGAACCCGGGAGGCAGAGATTGCAGTGAGCCGAGATCACGCCATTGCATTCCAGCCTGGGCAACAAGAGTGAAACTCTGCCAAAAAAAAAAAAAAAAAAAAAAAAAAGATGTAAATAGACCAGCGGAATAGAATACAGAGGAGCCCACAAATAAACCCTCACATAGACAGTCAAATGATCCTCCACAAGGGTGCCAAGATGACCACTCAGCGAAGAATAGTTTCTTCAACAAATGGTGTTGAGAAAGCTGGATACCCTCATGCAAAACATAGAGGTGCATCTCTACCTTATACCACATACAAAAAATTAACTGAAAATGGGTTAAAGACCTCAACGTAAGACCCAAAACTGCCCAAGGTCTAGAAGAAAATACAGGAGAAAACATAGGGTAATGAGACAAAATGGTGGGTCCTTGCACCATTACCCCCAGACCCATGGTTTGTATTCCACAGGGGAAGGATGGTTTGTACTCCACAGTTGAAGTATGATCATATCAAGATTGTTTGACTCCAGGGCAGGATTTATGATATGTACCTGCTCTTACACAAGGAATGATAGATCAACTGGAAATCTTAGAGGCCTTCCCGAAACTGGAGTTAATCAGAATCTGCCATGGCAGATTAGCCTCCAAGATGGAGTTGCCTTAGCCTCCGCAATATTAAAAGTAGAACTACCATATGATCCAACAATCTCACTTCTGGGCATATATTCAACAAATTGAAAGCAGGGTCAGGAAGAGGGGTTTGCACACCGATGTTTGTAGTAGCATTACTCAAAATACCCCAAATGTAGAATCAACTGAAATGTCCATCAAACAAAATATGGTGTCTGTAGTCCCAGCTACTCAGGAAGCTGAGGTTGGGAGAATGACCTGAGCCCAGGAGGTTGAGGGTGTAGTGAGCTATGATTGTGCCACTGCACTCCATCCTGGGTGACAGAGTAAGATCCTGTCTATTAAAAAAACAAAAAAAGTTTTGAAAAAAAGAATATTATTAAATCTTTTTTATTTAGTTATTCATTTTGAGACAAAGTCCTGCTTTGTCACCCAGGCTGGAGTGCAGCAGTGCAATCTCAGTTCAGTGCAATCTCAGTTCACTGCAACCTCCACCTCCCGGGTTCAAGTGATTCTCTTGGCTCAACCTCCCGAGTAACTGGGATCACAGGTGTGTGCCACCACGCCCAGCTACTTCTTGCAATTTTAGTAGAGACGGGGTTTCACCATGTTGGCCAGGCTGGTCTCGAACTCCTGACCTTAGGGGATCCACCCACCTCGGCCTCCCAAAGTGCTAGGATTATAGGTGTGAGCCACTGTGCCTGGCCTCAACCTTTAAAGGGAAGGAAATTCTTACACATGCTCTAGTATAAATGAGCCTTGAAGACATTATGCTAAGCGAAATAAGCTAGTTACAAAAAGATAATGTCTGATTCCATTTATATGAGTATCTAGAGTAGCCAGATTCCTAGAAACAGGAAGCAGAAAGGTGGTTGTCAGGGGCATGGAGGAGATGGGAATGGAGAGTTAACATTTGAAGAACACAGAGTTTCAGTTTTACTGGCCCAGCGTGGTGGCTCACGCCTGTGAGGGACATGCATTGGAAGGCCGAGGTGGGCGGATCACTTGAGGTCTGGAGTTCAAGTCCAGCCTGGCTAACATGGCGAAACCCTGTCTCTAATACAAATACAAAAAAATTAGCTCTACTAAAAATGCAAAAAATGCCGGGCGCGGTGGTTCAAGCCTGTAATCCCAGCACTTTGGGAGGCCGAGGCGGGTGGATCACGAGGTCAGGAGATCGAGACCATCCTGGCTAACATGGTGAAACCCCGTCTCTACTAAAAATACAAAAAACTAGCCGGGCGTGGTGGCGGGTGCCTATAGTCCCAGCTACTCGGAGGCTGAGGCAGGAGAATGGCGTGAACCGGGAGGCGGAGCTTGCAGTGAGCCGAGATTGCGCCACTGCACTCCACCCAGGGTGACACAGCGAGACTCCGTCTCAAAAAAAAAAAAAAAAATTAGCTGTGTATGGTGGCGGGCACCTGTAATCCCATCTACTCAGGAGCCTGAGGCAGGAGAATCACTGGAACCCAGGAGATGGAGGTTGCAGTGAGCTGAGATCACGTCACTGCATAGCAGCCTGGGTGACAGAGCAAGACTCCGTCTCAAAAAAAAAAGAAAAGAAAGAGGACTTTTGAGTTTCAGTTTCGCAAGATGAAAATGTTCTGGAGATCTGTCTCACAACCATGTGAATACACTTAACACTGCCAAACTGTACACTAAGCAATAGTTAGGATCGTAAATTCTTTTTTTTTTTTTTTTTTTTTTTTGAGACAGAGTCTCGCTCTGTCGCCCAGGCTGGAGTGCGGTGGCCGGATCTCAGCTCACTGCAAGCTCTGCCTCCTGGGTTCACGCCATTCTCCTGCCTCAACCTCCCGAGTAGCTGGGACTACAGGCACCCGCCACCTCGCCCGGCTAGTTTTTTTGTATTTTTTAGTAGAGACGGGGTTTCACCGTGTTAGCCAGGCTGGTCTCAATCTCCTGACCTCGTGATCCGCCCGCCTTGGCCTCCCAAAGTGCTGGGATTACAGGCTTGAGCCACCGCGCCCGGCCTAGGATGGTAAATTCTAGGTCTTTTTTTTTTTGAGACAGAGTCTCGCTTTGTCACCCAGGCTGGAGTGCAGTGGCGCGATCTTGGCTAACTACAACCTCCACCTCCCGGGGTCAAGCAATTCTCCTACCTCAGCCTCCTGAGTAGCTGGGACTACAGGCACACATCACTACACCCGGCTAATTTTTGTAATTTTAGTAGAGACAGGTTTTCACCATATTGTCCAGGCTGATCTTGAACTCCTAGCCTCAGGTGATCTGTCCACCTTGGCCTCCCAATCCTGGGATTATCACAGCGTGAGCCACAGCACCCGGCCTAGGTGTTATGCTGGAAGGAGTGAAAATTGCAACATGAAAATGATACTAGCAGTTAATATTTCAGCATTCCCAGTCCCAACATTAAAAAACAAGCTATAGAAGTGGAAGGGAAGGCCCCCGGAGTTGAGGGGTGCCGTGAGGCTGGGCTCAGAGGGTGTCTCTGTGGACGCTCCTCCCGGGAGGAGGCCGGATGGTGGAGGGGATGTCTGTGGACCAGGGGCCCAGTGCTTGGGAAGCGCTGCAAGGATGCCAGGGGGACAAGAGGGGCAGCACACAGTGGAATAGGCAGCAGAAGATTCAGGGTGAGACCAGACAGAGGGGAGGGGGTCCTAGTGGTGGCAACAGAACTTGAACAGCTGCAAACATGAGTCCCAAGCATGAGGCTCCCGAGCCTGGAGGGCAGACCCAGCCGCCACCCAGAAGGAAACCACAGGCACAGTCTCCCTGAGGACTTGGAGGGAGAGGTTGGGGTGCATATGTCAAGGGAAGGGAAGGGAGGGAAGAGATGGGTGGGCGAGGGCTCAGCGGTGGAGGGAGCCAGGTTGGGGGTGAGCGGAGAGCTCAAGAGTGAAGGAAGCCAACAGAGGGTATCAAGGTTGGGGGGATGCTGGTTTCAGGAGGTGATGTGGTGGACAACAGGGAGGACAGGTCGGGGGGTTGCCTCAGGGTGCCGGCTGAGTCCCAGGTCCTTCCTGATGGGTTTGCATGGAGCTGCTCTGCTGCTCTGGTCCCTCTAAGGATGGCCTCAGCCTAGGGCGCAGCAGAGAAAGTGGGATGGAGACTGCCACCACCGGGATGCCACCCTGACTCGCTATTGGTCCCCCTACAGGTCAGCAGCAGACTAAAGCCACAACTCCAGCCAGGTGAGTGCTGGGCCTCCCTAAGGGGGTGGGGGGTGCAGGTCCGGGCAGGAGGCTGGTTTGGAAGTCAGGGAATGTGCTGCTAAGAACCCCACAAGCCCAGCCTGCCACAAATTCTCCTGAGTTTTTGCCACCACCCACTTAAATCTGATCTCTGAAGCAACTGCCTCGCTTGCCTCGCTGTAATAATCCTGACCCTGCATCTAAAAACACTTCCCCTCCTGCAGATAGCAGGGCACCAAGCAGTGACTTCCGACCAACAGGGTGTGGGGAGAAGGGATGTGTATTAGCCCCAGAGGACATGCTGTGAGACCCGCTTGTGAGTACTCCACACTGGCTCCCCATTGGCAAGATACATGGAGAGCATCCTGAGGACCTAAAAAAGGCAGAGCCGCAAGGCAGAAGGAGCCTGGGTCCCTGAATCACCAACTGGAGAAGAGATACCTACAAGAGCCTTCATCCAGGAGCATCCATTCTGCAGTGACACAGGAATGAGGTCTGAACTGCACTGAATTAAACCACTGGCATTCGGGGGCTGTTCATTATAGCAGTGCTAAGAGTTCCTTTGTCTTCCCCAAGGATGGAAGACTACAATTTATTTTGCTTATCGTACACCCCTTTTCTCCTCATCCACATTTTCCAATCTGCACGGTGGCTGTCTTCTCCTATGGCAGGGGTTCTGGGGAATAAACAGTGTGAAACGCTGCTGACACTTCCCTGTGCATCTCCCACATGGCTGCCAAGTGCCCCTTCCTGCTCTGCAGTACCTGCGTCCAGTCGTGATGCAGGGAGTGTCCCTGCTAGTAACAGATGGCGCTCACAGATTTAAGGCAGTTGGAAGCAAGTTTAAGAAGGGAAATTTTTTTTTTTCTTTTTTCTTTTTTTTTTTTTTTTTTTTGAGACAGAGCCTCACTCTGTCATTACCCAGGCTGGAGTGCAGTGGCGCAATCTCAGCTCCCACTGCAACCTCTGCCTCCTGGGTTCAAGCGATTCTCATGCCTCAGCTTCCCAAGTAGTTGGGATTACAGGCGTGCACGCCCACACTCAGCTAATGTTTGTATTTTTTAGTGGTACTGGGGTTTCGCCAAGTTGTCTAGGCTGGTCTCAAACTCCTGGGCTCAAGCAATCCTCCAGCCTCAGTTTCCCAAATAGCTGCAATTACAGGCGTGAGCCACCGTGCCTGGCTGAAAGGTAATCGTTAAGGAGTAGGCAGGGGCAGGAACACTGTCAGAGATGGTGTGGTGGCCAAGGCTAGTACAGCAAATCGGCTGCTTCCTGTGATTGCACGGGTTGGGGGCTCAGTTCCACAAGGCTGCCCCCGCATCAGATGCCAGTCAAAAGCTCACGTGGTGCCTGTGCTTCTGACACAGGGCTATAAAAATTGAGGTTCCCATGATCCCCTCCTGGGGTTCAGTTAATTTTCTAGAATGGCACCTAGAACTCAGGGAAACCCTTTACTCACATGTGCCCCCTTATAAAGGATATTATAGGGCCTGGCGCCAGGGCTCATGCCTGTGATCTCTGCACTTCGAGAGGCTGAGCTGGGAGGTTTACTTGAGCACAGGAGTTTGAGACCAACCTGGGCAACATAGCGAGACCTTGTCTCAAAATAAAAACATAGGCTATTACAAAGGATAGTGATGAACAGCCAGATACAAGAGATACACAGAGAGAGGCCTGGGGGAAGGCGTGCAGAGCTTCCATGTCTTCCCCAGGTGCTGCACCCTCTAGGAAGCTCCATGAGTTCAGTTATCCAGAAGCCCTCTGCATCCCTTTTGGGTATTTATGGGCTTCATTATAAAGGCATGAATGGGCCAGGCACAGTGGCTCCTGCCTGTAACCCCAGCACCAAGGTTTGAGGCCGAGGTGGGAGAATCAATTGAGCCCTCAAGCGGCAATTGAGGCCGCAGTGAGTTGTGATTGCACCACTGGACTCCAGGCTGGGTGACAGAGAGAGATGCTGTCTCAAAAAAAGACAAAACGAAACAAAACAAAACAAAAAACCTGGCCAGTATGGTGAAACTCCATCTCTACTGAAAATGATCGCTGCCTGATCCCCACCCCTTGAAGATACCTCCACGCCCTCCATACACATTTGGTCAGCACTGACTGCCCAGCACACTGCACTGGGTGACAAGGACCCAAAGCGACACCAGCCAGTGCCCCAGCCCTCAGCACCTCCCTGTGCAGAAGGAAGACAACACAGAAAAGGGAAGCGTGGTTGTCACAGAGGCCCAGAGGACTGCCGGCTGATGTCACTGAATGGGGAAGTGGTCGGCCGCACGGGCCCTCGGCTCAGTCCTGATGCCACAGTGGATGTTCATGGGCCATGTGACCTCAGGCCAGGCTGAGAACCCCTCTCAGGGCCTCCGTTTATTTCTGTATGAATTGAGGACCATAACAGAGATGCTGCCTGCCTCCTGGGATTGTCCAGAGAGTTAAAAGCTCTTTTAAAATGCATCTGCTGGGCCGGGCACGGTGTCTCACACCTGTAATCCCAGCACTTTGGGAGGCTGAGGCAGGCAGATCACGAGGTCAGGAGGTTGAGACCAGCCTGAACAACATAGCGAAACCCCACCTCTACTAAAAATACAAAAAGTAGCCGGGCATGGTGGCACGTGCCTGTAATCCCAGCTACTCAAGAGGCTGAGGCAGGAGAATCGCTTGAACTTGGGAGGTGGAGTTTGCAGTGAGCCGAGATTGAGCCATTGCACTCCAGCCTGGGTGACAGAGCGAGACTCCGTCTCAAAAAAATAAAAATAAATAAAATGCACCCGCTGGCGGGGCATGGTGGCTCACACCTGTAACCTCAGCACTTTGGGAGGCCTAGGCAGGTGTATCACCTCAGGTAAAGAGTTCGAGACCTGGCCGGGCGCGGTGGCTCACGCCTGTAATCCCAGCACTTTGGGAGGCCGAGACGGGTGGATCATGAGGTCAGGAGATCGAGACCATCCTGACTAACACAGTGAAACCCCGTTTCTACTAGAAATACAAAAAAATTAGCTGGGTGCAGTGACGGGCGCCTGTAGTCCCAGCTCCTTGGGAGGCTGAGGCAGGAGAATGGCGTGAACCCAGGAGGCAGAGCTTGCAGTGAGCCGAGATTGTGCCACTGCACTCCAGCCTGGGCAACAGATCAAGACTCCATCTTAAAAAAAAAAAAAAAAGAGTTCGAGACCAGCCTGGCCAACATGGCAAAACCCTATCTCTGCTAAAACTACAAAAATTAGTTGGGCATAGTGGTGGGCACCTGTAGTCCCAGCTACTCGGGAGGCTGAGGCAGGAGAATCGCTTGAACCCGGGAGGCAGAGGTTGCAGTGAGCCGAGATGGTGCCACTGCATTGCAGCCTGACAGGTGACAGAGTGAGACCCCGTCTCAAAATAATAAAGATAATAATAATGATAATAAATAAAATAATAAAACAAAATGCACCTGCCATTCTTTCCTTCAGGTATGTCCACGGAAATGAGGGTCATGAGGGAAGCAGTGTATCCTCACAAATCCCCAGAAATGAGAGACACAGCCATGCAGGGCCACTTGGGAAAGCACCAGAGTCCCTGGGGGGAGGGGCAGAGGAAGCCAGGGGGAAATAGGGGTGAGCCCTTTTGTTATGCTTTCCATGGAAAAGGCAAGGAAGGGTATGCAGGTTTAGGATTGGCTAGTTAGAATAATGTTAGCAGGCTCTGGGGATTAGGGGCTGTCACTTGTTATTTGGTGCCTGGCCCAGGGTGATGAAGGCAGAGAAATACTGCCTCCTGAAAGGTGAGAGGCAGCTAGAAGAGCTGGTTCAGTGCTGGGGCCCTGGATTAGCTGGTTTGCATATGAAAGGCACACTCAGCCAGGCGCAGCGGCTCAAGCCTGTAATCCCAGCACTTTGGGAGGCCGAGGTGGGCAGATCACAAGGTCAGGGACCATCTTGGCCAACATGGTGAATCCCCATCGCTATTAAAAATACAAACATTAGTTGGGCATGGTGGTGTGCATTTGTAATCCCAGCAACTTGGGAGGCTGAGGCAGGAGAATCGCTTGAGCCTGGGAGGTGGAGGTTGTAGTGAGCTGAGGCTGTGCCACTGCACTCCGGCCTGGCAACAGAGCGAGACTCCATTTCGGAAAAAAAAAAGAAAGGGACACTCTCAGAGGGGTCATTTGCTAGCTTTAACAACTGGTTGGCTCTGGCAGGGGCAGACCCTCTTTCTGGTCTTGGAGGTCCAAGATGCCAGAATATCAGCAATACAGTGGGGCTGGGTGAGGTGGCTCACACCTGTCATCCCAGCACTGAGGGAGGCCAAGGCAGGAGGATTGCTGGAGCCCAGGAGCTCGAGACCAGCCTAGACAACATAGTAAGACCCCACGTCTCAAAAACACAAAAGAAAAAAAATTATCCGTATCTGGTGGTGTGTGCCTGTGGTCTTCACTACTCGGGAGTCTGAGGTCAGCAAATCGCTTCAACCCAGGAGCGATGGTGATTGGGTCCCTACACTCCAGTGTGTGGACACTCTAGTACCTTGAGGATAATACAGCCTGATTACAGTAGCTTTACAGCAACTCTTGAAGTCAGGTATTATAAATCTTCCACCTTCATTCTTCATTTGTAAAGGCCTGTTGGCTATTCTAGGTCCTTTGAGTTACTGTAAGAATGTTACAATTGGCTTGTGAACTCCACATCTATTGGGATCAGAGGAAAGCAGGAACAGGGTGGGTGCCAAGGAGGAGCAAGGGGCTGGGGCAGGGATGGATGTGGCCAGTGAGGACAGGAGGATACTTGCTGGGGGAATGTGGGGACAGCCAAGCAGTGGTTCTCATCATGCCGTGCAGGGTACTCGCCCCCTCCCTGCCCCTGCTCCCCACACACGACTTCCCACGCCTCTCCCATGGGCACCTGCGCTAAGGGGCTGCATTTAGGCTCTGCCCACACTGGAATCACGCCCTCCTCCAGGCCCTCCTCCTCCTCCCAGAGCCCTGTCTGAGAGAGAGCCACAGCCCCAGGCTGTGTCCCAGGTCCTGTCACTGCTGTTGGGGGAGGGAGGATGAACAAACCCAGGAGACCTCACAGCATCCCAGAGCAGAAATCCTGACACAAAAGGAATCTCCCATGGGGGTTCAGCTGGGTCCAGGGCCTGAAAGTGACATCAATGTGGACCTTGCATCTAAGGAGATCGCACGTGGCAGCACTGGGGCAGAAGACCCTGGGAAGCATGTGCCCTCCAGAGCTACCCAGAGGCTGTTGGCTGTAAGTTCTATGTGGCCCCCACCTTGGACAGCCTGGTAAGCAGGTGACCCTTCAGCCAGGTCTTCAGGCAGGGTGGACCACCCTCTCGAGGCCCTGCCCAGACAGCCAGGGGGTCCCTTGTCCTCTCTTCAGTCCACCTTTGCAGATGGGACCAGTTCAGTCCAAAGCCCCCATGCCTCCGTTTTCCTGTGGGTTGAATGGGGAGAATGAGGTGTTGAGGGCCTGGCTCAGACGGAGGGGTTTCCTGAGCACGGGGGAACATGTTTCCTCCGGCCTGTGAAGGGAGGGAGGGAGGGCTGACCTGACTGGCCCTGGGAAGCACAGAGGAGCCTACTGGGGCCAGGGAAGAGACTGAGAAGAGAAGGGAGGCCCATCCCTGCCTGCTTCTGTCTCAAGAAGGCTGATGCCATTTCCTCTGACGAAATCCTGTCTTCCTGCCCCCATGGCCCCTTAGCTGGAGGGGCCACCTCACCCTGGAGAGGGTGGGCAGAGCCTCCTACGGAGGGAGCCCTGTGGGCCACCAAAGCTCCCCGCTCCAGCGACCACCCCAGGCAAAGGCCAGCAGAAACCCGTTAGAGATGGGTCCAGGACTGTGTGCGGGGTGCCCACTGTTGCTCTGAGCCTTCACTTCCTTCTGTGTCCAGGGAAGCTTCTGGATCAGCCAAGGGCTCAGGTGTGTGGAGGGAATGACCTGAGGTGCTGTATGAAGGGATGGCCTCCTGTCCTGCACTCAGAAGTTGAGGCCCAGAGATTCTGCCCTTCAGCCAGGCCCAGACATCTGGGTAGAGGGAGTGCCGGTCCTGGAACTGCCACTGCAAGTCACGTGGCCTCGGGCAGTGCTTCTTAGAGCCCTGTCCCTGCCTGCATAGGATGGGGAGGGCAGAGGGAAGCCTGCAGATCCAGTCTCACGTCTAGGAGGTGAAGGGGTGGCCTCCAGAAGGACCAGTCTGTGTAGGGGACCATCAGCCCCCACACCCCTTGAGCAAGGTCATGGTCCCTGCACCAAGGGAGCGGGCCTGGCATGGGAAGAGGCTAGCTGGGCCCTGGTGGTGCCTAGGGACTGCATGGGAGTCCCTGCCAGGGAGGGAGAGGGACAGAGGACAAGCTGGGGACTCTGGTGCTTGGGCTGGGGTCTGAGCGCCTGTCACCTCCACCAGCTCCCTCATCCTCCTCCCTGAGGACTGAATCTGGGACACAGAAGGGCAGAGAATCAGGCCTGCCTTTCCTTTCCCTGAAAGAGCCTGTGCTGGCCCTGGGCAGAGAGAAGGATGAGAAGTGAAGCTGAGTGAGGTGGGGCTGCAGGGATCCAGGTGGGAGGGGCCCAGCCAGCCAAGGTCAGGCCCGGCCCCTCAGCAGGAGGACGGGCACTGGGGCCCTTGGGCAGGGCTGACTTGACACTGACCACAAGGGAGGCCCTTTTGCAATAAGAGAAAAGAAGCCAGATGGATAAAGGAAGTGCTGGTCACCCTGGAGGTGCACGGGTTTGAGGAAGGCTCCCGGCCCCCACAGCCTTCTGCGGAGCCTGAGCCTAGCTCCCCCGACTCACCTCAACCCCCAGGTGGCCCCTCCACAGGGCCCCTCTCCTGCCTGGACGGCTCTGCTGGTCTCCCCATCCCCTGGAGGAGAGCAAGGCCATGGGCCGGCCCCTGCTGCTGCCCCTGCTGCCTCTGCTGCTGTCGCCAGCATTTCTGCAGCCTGGTGAGTGCCCAGGACCGCCCAGATGTGGGCTCTGCCTAAACCACAGGAGAGGCCAACCCGAGACAAAGGTGGGACATCTTAGGGAGGGCCCAGGCTCCCACCACCAGGAAACAAGGGTGGGTCCCACAGGGTCGGGTGCCCCCATCCTCTCTCTCCCATGCCTGAAGAGTGGGAGACCCAGGCCAGAAGTCAGTCCAGCCACCTGTCACACGACTGCCTGTGGATGAAGGTTCGGGAGGGTCTGGGGTCACCCTCTTTGTGTCTTGCGGTGGCTTCAAGGTCTCTCCCCCACTCTCTCCCTCCCACCTCTAGGTGGCTCCGTGGGATCCGGTCCAAGTGGCGGTTATGGGTTCACTCAACCAAAACACCTCTCAGCCCCTATGGGTGGCTCCGTGGAAATTCCCTTCTCCTTCTATTACCCCTGGGAGTTAGCCACAGATCCCAACATGAAACTATCCTGGAGACGGGGCAACTTCCACGGGGAGTTCTTCTACAGAACAAGGCCAGCTTTCACTCACAAGGATTACTCGAACCGGCTCTTTCTGAACTGGACAGAGGGTCAGGACCGCGGGCTCCTCAGGATCTCGAACCTGCGGAAGGAGGACCAGTCTGTGTATTTCTGCCGAGTCGAGCTGGACACACGGAGATCAGGGAGGAAGCGGTGGCAGTCCATCGAGGGGACCAAACTCACCATCACCCAGGGTGAGTCCAGCTGCCC